TTCAACACTAGATTGTTCAAGATTGCCTTAAGTGGATTAATATGTTGGCTAAAACATATCTGGATCACTGGCAGTTGGGTGTTCAATCCCTGGGTTTGGTAGTGCTGGAAAGTTACATACTTTGGTTTAAACAGCACAAAAGTGAACAAGACTTGTGTATTAACCGATATGAAATATTTAAATAAAAATTCAAGAAGAATTTTAATGAAGATTTTGGTTCAAAATTTCAATAAACTTTCTAGTATGAAGAAGGCCAAAAGGTACAATGGTCGAAACATTTTGAGCATAATAACTAAGATGAGCATGCTGGTTTGAATTGCAAAGTATATTGCAGCTCTTTCACCTTTAGTATGTGGCTCATGAAAATATATTGGCTGAGCTCTTAAAACAATCATCAGTCAAGATTTTGAAAAGTTTTCATATATATATATATATATATATATATATATATATATATATATGTACTTTGTGATTACTGAAACAGATACAAATTAACAGTTTAAAAAATGCATACATGAATAAATATTATTTCATACATGCACGTCTTAATATTTAAAAATTTTGTAACAAATTGTGTATGTAACAAAAATATATGTGTAAATTTTATTCATGTCTTGCAGCTCTCAGACGTTTTAACTTTATCATGTGTGGCTTTTACATTAAGCAAATTTTGCTGCCTGTTATATAATAATGATAATTCCTTATTTCAAAATTCAAACAAATAAATAATGACATAATAATGCAATCTCCCATAAAAAAAATCAAATTTGCTTCAAAAGGAATGGGGGAAGAAGCAATTTAACTAGTTTATATTTCAAAATACATGACACAATATTAAAAATAAATGCTTTTCATAAATAAAAAGTAAAAGAATTTAAAAATTAAATGATTTTTAAATAAAGGCTGTTATTTTCCTCAGGTACCATGGGGATGTGGGGTTAGTTTACCCAGATTTTAGGAGGAAAAATAAAATCTGAGTGTTGTGTTCACAAATACAATACAAAATTATAAACAACGTGAAGAAGACCAAGCTAAATATATAGTAACATTTATACAGCCAGACATGTATTTACATATTAAAAAATCAATGTTCTTTATTGTGGCCATGAAGAGACCAATAGTTCAATTGTTCGAAAAGATTTGTCACAAGTGGATCTACAAAGTTTTGAAGTGATTTGTTCCAAGTGAGAAAATATTATGTTATACTATGCCAATGTATGTGTGTGTGTGTGGGTGTGAAGCACACAATAAAACGTGTGATTGCTGACTGATTGTGTACGATAGCAGAAATTTTAAAACACAGTGAACAAAGAGAGGGGAGACAAGACCTACTTTCGTCGTAGCATTGTATGTAGAAAAATCATCGCTGACATACACGTCATAGTAACACGTGTCTATGTTGTTGATCAAGGCTGCTCTGGGTCGCTGTCTTTCACTGACTGTGCCGTTTCAGATCTGGTGACTGAGTGTGCTTCACTTATAGGCCGTAAAATATAGGAGTCTATATCTTAGAAGAAAAAAAATTTGGTGATGAATGAATGTTACACGTCACACACTAGAAATCTGCATTCAATGAATGGTGTGAGTTTTAAAAATTTAAAGGTAGCTATTATTCCATGTACTTTAAGCCACTACCTCTCTAATAAGGTTTAAATTAATGCCGTTTTTGGTTGGATTATGTGCTGAATAATAGAGACTTTGACAAAGAAATTATAGGGTTTTGTTTTGCCCAATTAGTGACATTTTGATTGTGAATAAAAAGTTTCAGGTATGAATTTTGATAAAATTGAAATGAAATGATTGAATAACAGAGAAGATCTTTATGTAACAGCAAATTTTGTAAACTTTTTATTTTAAAAGTATACGTGATGGTGTTTTTTGTTGTTGTTTTTTATATTGTATAAAAACAAAAGAAAAAAAAATCACAAAATAACACTAAAATTTTCTAAGCAAGAAGAAATTTTTAACGGTTAACCTACAACATCTTCCAATCCTTTGGATTATGTAGAAAAAGCACATGCTTGTACATGGGTGGATGTTCTCTTAAAGCAAACAATAATGCAGAGAAGGGGAAATTTTGCCAAGCAAATAAAAAATAAAAAAAAACCCAAAAAAAAACGGTTTTCTTTTATGAAGTTTTTCAAAAAAAGAAATCTTACTTATTATAAAACGCAGATTGTGTGTGTGTGTGTGTGTGTGTGTCTGTACGTTTATATGTTGGATCAGATTTCCTACATTTTTCAACCGATTTCAACAAAACTTCACAGGACTACGTAAAATTACCTTGTGGCGGTTCTGACAGCGCCAAAAATTGGAAAAACACAATTGTTTTTGCATGAAATCAATTTGAAAACACGATTAAGAGGCATCGCGAGAATGAAAGGGGGGACAACTCATATCGAGTTATACGTATTATAAAACCCAGGTTGTTTGTGTGCGTCTGTGTTCGTTTATATATGGGATCGGATTTCCTACATTTTTCAACCGATTTCAACAAAAACTTCACTTTTTTTGTCAGGTAGTGTTTCTTATTGTCTTGCACACTTTTTTTCTTTAATTCTACATTCAGAATGCTTAAAAATTCTATTTACAAGACAATTGTTTATAATAAAATTCTATTCAATCGGTAGATCCATAACGATTGAAAACAATGTTTTTGTTTGAGTTTGACCAATTCGTAAAAAAAAAAAAAAAAACTAATCAAGACATGCGTGTCCGTCAACCTTAAGCAATAATCTTTGTCAATTTTATTTTTCAGTCTTTATAATGGTCGATACTTGATCTATCTCTTACTGTTACATCCCCGGGCAACGCCGGGCTCTACTGCTAGTTTATTAATATAATTTGAATGTTTTAAATTTTATATGGTATTGCTACAAAAAAAAAGTTTTAAAAAGAATACTCATGCATGAGAAAATAAATAATAAAAAAAAGATTTAAAAACATTATCCACCCAAGCCGAATAGTCGTGGATGGTCTCAGGTTGAAAATGTCAATACAGTAACAAGAAAAAAAGGTCAGGAAAAAGTCAGAACTTTGGTTTGTGGGTAGGAAAAATATGTCATCTCATAAGGAAAGCAAAATGTAGCAATACTTTTAAATACTTTTTAATAAAATAACTAACATTTTCATTTATTTATTTAATCTTCATAAAATAAGAAGAACTAGTTCTAATGTTATTTTATCAAGATGATTATTAAATTAAAATATGACCTATATAATTAGACTTTAAAGTAAACAATCATCTATTTTTAAATGAAACTTTCTTTTCGCTCTACTGACAAGCACAAATTTAATTTTGTTTTTTCTAACCAAGGGTCCTTGCCTTATATTTCCCTACATTACAATCAACCCTCAATCAATACCTGCTAAAAACACTTTAAAAAGATTCTTTTAATTTTCCCTTTATTTTTAAACAACTACTTGTTCTATATAAGATGTTGTCCCTTGCGTCATGACGTCGAAAAAAAAAAAAAAAAAAAAAAAAAAACCAAACAAAACAACATGATTGAAAGTGAAACTACTTTTGATGCCTTCAACTTAGTAATTATTTTAATAATAATAAAAAAAAAAGTAGTAGTAATAATCCTCTTTCATCGGTATTGGAAGTTAGAATCCAATGTCTGCCTCATATCTTTTTTTTTAAATTAACTTTTGCCAACAACATTTTTTTTCATCCTCCAGGGTAGTTAAACCCATTTCCGCGATCAACAAAGAGTTCAGGAGGACATGGCAAACAAACAAAAAAAACTAAAATAAAAATAAAAACCCATTTTTTTTTTTTTGGTTTTAAATATAAACAAGGTCACGTGACCCAACACATTTCCACGCTACAAACTTATTGAGCATGAATTGTGATTGACAAAGAGATTTTTTTTTAAATGGTCAAAAACAACAAACCAAAAAATGAAGAAATTAAAGTTTTTTTTTCTCACTTTTTAAGCTTATTTGAGAAGAATAATACATTTCATTTTCTTTTTTTTTTTTATTACTACAATGAACGACTGACTTATTGAGGACGGATAAAAAAGAAATTAGCAACCATGGCCTTTTCTTTTTGGACAGCGCAAAAAAAAAAGCTCTTAATAATAATATTAATTTATTTTTAAAAATATTCTCTGCTAAAATGTGTCCTATATCGTTAACAAATGTAAAATAAATATGATAAAAAAGAAGTTACAGAATGAGAGAAGAAAGAGATAGGAAAAGGAAATAAGAAGACATTTTTAAAACCTCAATGCTGCTGCTAAACAAAACAACAGGGTTATCACTCCTTGATACAAAAAACTCGGCTACTATTTTCTCAGTAAAGCTAAGAATAATCTGAATTATTGAATAATCTTCAAAGTTCACACGTATCAAATCAGAACTTTTTTTTAAATAGGGTTTCAAAAGAAATGAAACATCTACTTGAAAATTTAGAAATAAACACATTATTGTGACACTTTTTAGTTAATTAATATCACGCACCGGTCGGCGCTTATATTTTTCAGTCAAAGCTAGATTTTGAATTTCCAAGGTACTCAGACCTTAAAGAAATGATCTTTTAATTACGTCAAAAAAATTAGTAAGCTGGTGCGATTGCAAAATTTCTGCAATGTAAATACTGGATAGGAAATAAAAAAGCATTGTGAGTTTATTTTCAGTTTCCGCATTTTTTTTTTTTAAAACCGACCTGTTGCCAGAAAAAGAAGATCAAGAACAAGATATGATTATCTAAAAAAAGAAAAACGGTAGACGATGTAAAAGAAACGCTTTTTTTTTTAGTGTTCTTAATGAATTTTGTTAGTACACGTGTTTTTTTTCTAATAAAAAAGAAAAAAAACAAGTGATGAGGTAAGATGAAAAAAAAAATAATTCAATTAAAAAAAAAGTAACATTTCTTGTTTTCATTTAATTTGTTCACTCTCTTATGAATTTTTATATTTTTTTTTTTTTTTTTTTTTACACCTAAAAGAAAGAAAAAATAAAAAGCAGGAGGGGAAAATAGCATCCGCAATATGAGGCCTGGTAAGAAAATTACCAAACATTATATCGGACCGAAATCAACGAGAATAGTTGTTGAGCTAAAAAAGCGGTCGATTGGCTGAAAAGAGGGATGGCTTAGCCAATGTCGAGATCTCTACTCCAAACTCCAGCAAAGGGCTTCAAATATACCAGCACGTACCTGATTTCTACTCCTACTAGAGGAGTAAGCAAAGTAGTTGTTGTTGTTCAAAAAAACAGTAAGTTTATTTTTTTTTTTTAAATACCATGTCCAGTCAAATGAGCACAGTTAATAAGACCACCATTTATTTTCTCACCTACTAAAAAGAACAGGGAAGTTTAAAAAAAAAAAAATATAACTTTCCGGACTCTCTCTTTCTCTTCTTAACCTTTTGTATTTTTTTTCTTTCGAAAGAAGAGTGGGGGAAAAAGAAGAGAATTGAGAGTGGACAAGTCAGTGCGTCATTATTTGTAGTTAAGTCCTTATTCTTTTTTTTTTAATACTTCTTTCTTTCCGCACAACCTCTCTCTTGTCACTTGATTAGACTCTCCCCTCTCTCTCTCTCTGACAAGTCCTCGTTTTTGTGAGAAGTAGAGAGATTGGCGGACAATTTGTGACGTTGGATTTAAATTTCAGTCCCTCTAATTGATAAACATCTACAAAAAAAAAAAAAAAAGAAAAAAAAGACAGGAAACTCCCTTTTCTCCCTGACAAACCTTCGTTTAATCAAAGCAAAAAATATACACTTGGATTTTAAACCAGGATTTAATTTATTGAAAAGAATGAAAGGGTTTTAAGGTGACACACGCACCAACCTACCTCTTCTTTTTTCTCTAGTAATTTCGGATTTATTTTTACCTGGTTTTACTATTACTTCTTTTATTTACCAATGGAGTTACTATTATTATAGGCGGGATACCATTTTACTTGCAGGTAAATTTCATGTGTACTATATGAACAGTTCTTATGTTTTCAATCTCGATTCCTTGCTTTTTGTTTGTTTTTCTTTCCATGTCATAGTTACCGCAGTTGCGTTAGTTTTTTTTTTTTTTCTTTCCGGTTATTTTCACTTATATTTGCTCTCATGATTGAAGACTCTGATTTAGATTCTTGCTAACTAACAAAACCTAAATTTCTCTTTCATATCTAAATGAAACCTTAGTGTTACAAAGAAGATAGTCTAACGTTTCTTTAAAAAGAGTATATTTTTGAGCTTACAAATTCATGTGCTTTTTCTCTTAACCTAAATCCTTAACTTTGAATGGATATTTTTTTGTATAATAAAGACGTAAGTCCGATCTCATTACAATTCAAATATTAGAGATCTTCCTGATTTAGGAGTATTAATTAGTTTAGAGAGTAGTTTTAGAATTCATTGACTTTGGAAATCGCCAGTTAATGATAATTAAATATGCCATAAAATAAATTTGTAATTTTAATTATAAGATCGCTAAGCCAAATATGACATGAATCTGTTTTTACTCGACTCTACATACTTGGAATTCTTGAAACGTCAATAAAATATTTAAATATTATTTTAGTCTACTTTAAGTAAACTTAGTATTTAGTAGTACAATTGTTTCGTGACGTTTAAGACTTAAAACTAAAAGTAACTAAGTTGAGGGGTATGTGCTGCTTTAAAAATATTTCGCCTTCTATCTTTCCTTTTTTCATTCAAACTTAATAATTCCGTATTTTTAAAAAAAATTGTCTTGAAATTTAAAACTTAGAAAGAAAACACGCTTATTTTTATAGGCCTTATTGATTGCATTTAAAATGGCTCTACTGTATTGAATTCGAATAACATTTAAATAATGAAAGTTTTTTTTTGTTTTTTTTTTTTAAGGTGTGGTTGTGAAATGAAACAGGATAAATTTAGATTTAAATTTAGGTGACAACATTGTCATTAAGTACGTTTTTAAATTGCATTTCATTTTTGCATGTGGATGTAGTAGGAAAAATCGGTGAAAAAATATTTTTAATTCTTTTTGATTTATATACTAAGATAACTAATATTTGAAACGAAAAAATGTTTACGACTTGTATCGCTAACATAACATTTACTTTCATAAAATGTCAAAGGGTAACTTACAACTTTTACTTTTCCTGGCTGGTCACCGTAAAAAAAAAAAAGAAACCAAAATTACCATTCTGTTTTCGATTTGATACTGTGTGAAAATGACCCATCACCTCTTTAAAAAAGGTCATAAAACTCGTTTTGTTTATTTTATTGGGCAATGATTTTTAAATGGGTACTTTTACAAAAGCAAAAATTCCTTAGTCCTTCTTTTGAAGGGAGAGGGAAACAAATGCCATTGTACTATTTTTTTCCTTTATATTTCACAATCTCCAAAAAATTTGAATTCATCAATTTTCCTGATGGCATGTTCGCCTTACAAAATGTAAATACGTTTAAGTTAAAAATATTGGTAATGATTGGTTCCTGTGATCTACCAACTTTAGGCCGAATGTCTTCAGTAATTGTCATTGTTAGTCTTAAAACTTAAATTACTAATTACACATTTTGAATCTCTCTTTTCGGGTACCTTTTTAGTAAAACTCACTAAAAGTTAATTTAAGTATTTGATAAGTTAAGCAAATTAAAAATTCTGTCGTCGTTAAAATGAAAAAAAAAGACACGTGCAAACTGTAATTCATTGACTGACAATTATTCTATGTCTATGGAAACGATTTGTCGTCTTAAAATCTGAAAAGTACCATTTCACTCACTAACATCGAATTATGACTTTTGTTATGGATCAGGTAAAAAAAAAAAAAAAACTCCTGAGTATCTTTTTTCTAAATAAATAGCATTTTCCGTTCGTTTAAAAGCGCCACGAAGATTTAAATTTCATAACTGTGCAATTTTACCCCCCGCTCTATTTGTTTACTAATTCAAATAGTTTTTTTTCTCCACCCCATCCAAGGCTTAAACATTCCAATCATTTTTTTTAAACAAAGATACTGCAATTCTTTGGTATGCTGTTCGGGTTAAGCTTATCTTCTTCACCTCTTTAAAATGTAACAGGTGTAGAGACATTTCCAAGTCTTTACGGGTCACGTAACTTACTTCCTCATTTAACAGGTTGGAATGAAATTAAAATTAGTATGCTATAGTATTTCGATCATTTTTTTTTTGTATAAGACATATCTAAATTTGCTTTTAACTTTTTTCTAGATAATAAAGAAAAATTAATACTCTGAACAAATACTAAATTAAAAACTTCATTTTTCAAGTGAGTTACCTCCCCCTTATTAAATTTCAAACTTTTAACTTCTCACGTTTTTAACTTTTTTTTTTTTTTAACTCGATAAAAAGTTAAAAACATATCGGAATTTTAGTCTGCAGAACAACTCTCCGTTCATAGCGCATTTTTGTTGTTAAAATATTCTTTGAGTGTCCATTACTTTAATAAACATTCATAAAGCAATCAGTGACTATTTTAGTTTAGGAATTATACAGAAATCCAGGTACTGCAAGGTGGAAACAAAAAAAAAAAACCTGACATTCGTTCTTTCATTATTACGGAGCCCACACGTGACCTAAATCTTTATTCATCAATAACCTTTTCTTTTTTTCTTTCAAACTTAGTCTCTTGGACACTAATTGGTACATTTTACTTTAAGCTTTACATTTTTCTGAACAAGTCACCATTTTCTCTAATTTCTTATTTGAACTTTCAAAGAAAGGTAATAATCTTGACAGCAATAAAATTGAACAGTTTGTAATAATAAAATTAAATAAAAATTTTCAAATAAACTTTTTTAAACTGAAGTTAGTGTAAATTTTCCACTGTAACTTCAGTTTAAAAAAATTTACTTATTTAAAAGTGTTTAATTTTTTATAAGATTTTTACACTGTAAGTGTAAAATAATAAAAATTAAACACTTTAAATTAAAGCTATTATTTTTAAAAAAAATAGCATCTAAAACTTTTTCGGGTAATCATTGCTTTTTATTTGTTTAATTTTCTAAAGTTTTAAAGCCCACTTCTCAAAGACTTTTAACAAGAATTACAGAAATTGGCAAAATTTAATTTGTTGGTCTATTTTTGAATCCATTTTTACTTACTACAACTACAGTATAAAAATGGATTCAAATATAAATTTTACACAACACACACATTCACTTACTGCTAATAACCCCTGGCAAAGGTATGAATCCTCTTTTCCCCCAGCTATGAGTAAATAGCAGGACAGACCCGGTTCTATAGTTTTTGATGGCAATTGGTCTCCTGCAAAAAGAAATGGCAACTAACTGCCTCGTCAGTCCTGTATCAAAAGATACATGATCGCCTAAGCGTGTATCACGCATGGCACATAACTGACTATATTTGAATCGTGTCTGACACTAGATTACAAAAATGTCCTTTCGGCATTACTACTAAAAAAAAAAACTTTTTATCTCTTGCCAACATGTGTAGTCCTTAAAAAGTAATGGCAATGCTAATTAGTTCGCTGATTCTGCAGCAACTTCGTATTTTTCCGAGAAGCTATGTATTTTCAGATCAGAATCTTCATTCTTCACAAATAAAAGGGCTGGGTCGGTTTGTACCAAAAACTTTCTTCAATTTCAACCGGGAATTTGTATTCCCCCCCACCTTTTAGTAGCAAGAGAGACTATTGAATTTTAAAACAAAAAAACTGACAATGCAAGCTGCCAGTGACTTTTTTTTTTTTTTACTGATTAACTTACAATACATGATGACAATTGTTTGGTAATTAATTACTGCTAAAAAAACATGATTCAATTGTATTCCATTTACAAAACGTTGCTTGCATAAATAATTTGTTTTTTATCTTAGTTTTTGAACATTGTTATTGGGGATATAATGCAATAATTAGTAGCTGGAAGAATTCTAGCTTTTCAAGTCTTGTTCTTTTAAAAAGCATACTATTCAGTTTAAACAGTTGACTCCACCCAAACTAGATAGACCTAAGCACATGAACAATTATGATAAATGTGATTTGGCTTGAGACAACTGTTAATAAAACTTTCCTTATAATAAAAAATAGGTGACTGCAATCATAAAATCTTTGCTAAAGAAAGAAGCTCACTGTCACATTGTATAGAAAATAAAACCTGAAGATTTTTCATATCGCAGCTTGTGATATTTGATTTTTTTTTTCTCGGCTTATCAACCATTTGCAGTTTTTTTTTTTTTTTTTTTTTTTAGATAATGACAGTGATGTTTTACTAATTAACCCATAGTTGGGGAGATGTGGATTCAAGGGTATTTGCTTGTTCCATTTTTCTTCTAGGAAAATTAATAATGGCAGAGTACAACTAAAAAAATTGTATTTCAATTTCATCATAAAATTCACGTTATCTGAAAATCAAGAAGCTTTTTTTTTTTTTTAGTTTTTTAAAACTAAAAGGCGAACTCATTTTCTACTTACTAGCTTACAGAATAGTTCATAAATGCATTTAATTTCGAAGATTTGCACCACTTACTAGGAATATTTTAAATTTAATGAATTTTGGGTATTTTAATTAAAAATTCAGAGGCAAAAAATAAATAAAAAGAATCTGGACCCAAAAGAAAAGTTGAAATAAAACTAAAAGAAAAATTCTAAGTTTCCTTCGATGGAATTATTTTTTTATGAAAGTTGAAAGTAAAACTAAGATTTGTCATTAGTCGTAATTAGAAAGTTATCAACAGATTTTTTTTTTTTTTTGTGGGGGGAACTGCTAAAAAAGTTCATTTAAAAATAAAATACAAACAAAATAATTCAATTAGTACACGCATTTTTTTTTTTTTTTTTAATTTTGAGGTAGTTTTTTACTTTTTAATATCTCTAGTTTTAAATTCATAAGAATTTTTTACTTTATTTCAAATATTGTATTTTCAAAGTTAATGTTTGATTTAAAAAAAAAAAAAAAAACACCTTGTCACGTAAACACCTGTGTTGTAACGTTTCAAGTTTCTTGTTGAATTGATATACTTTTTTACTTACTTATGAAGAAAAACAAGAGCTTTTTTTAAAGTAGAAAGCCCCGACTGTTAACTTAAACTCTTTAATTATCTGTCATTAAAATAAATCTATATCTTTGTTTGTTATATTGTGTGATGGGACGTAAAATCCATTTCCTTCAAGGTAGTGGCGAATAATTGGGCGTGTCGTATCGGCTAAAGACAGGTGAACAAAAATCTAAAAACTTTCACGAAGCAGACACGAGGTAGTTTTTGCAGGCATTTAACCTCTTAACATTTTTTTTTTTTTTTTTTTTAAATAGTTTTTATCTTTACCTTAAATTTTTCCGTTAAAAATGTTTTTGAGGGAATATTGGGTGTGGTTACACTTGTCTTGAAAGATTGCAAAATAAAATGGACTTTGTGATGAGACCGACATGTGCTTTCCGCCTCCAAAAACGGCTAAAAATATCTAACACTTGTTTAAGGAAATTCCTTTCTTTTCTCCAATGGACATATTGTGTACCTAAAAATTTTTTTTTTTTTTAACCTTACTCTCTCTTCATTTGAACATTTTTAGTTCTAGGATAAGATCTAAAATAATTCAAATATTTTTTTGTACATTCCACTGACTGGTTAGTTATTGATTAGTATCCAGACTTAGTAAAATGTTTAATTTATATTTAAACTTATACTTTTATTTCCTTTTGAAATAAGGCATTTCAGTTTCATTTTCATAACTTTTTTGACATGTATAGTATTTTTTTTCGTCTTCATTTCGCATAAAAATTTTAGCTTTACAGTTTACATTCAGAATGTTTATATAACACTTCATAAATATAATTTTTTTCGTAATCGATTCGGTATGAATTTAAAAGAAAATAAATTTAAAAATAATCTGTAATTTTCCTCTCAAAATCAATTATTTTATTTTTTTAAATTATTAATAAAATTACTATTTTTTTTTTTTTTTTTTTTTTTTTCAAATTTTAATAATTTAATAAATGTTTAAATTTTTATTTTTTGTTATTAACCTTAATAAATGTTAGCAAATATTTTCTTTTAAAATAAAATCTCATCTTAAAAGTGAATTTTTTCTCAAACTGCCCAGGTAACAAAGGGAGATAATTTTGGTCATTTCCCACATTGGCGAATCTTGAGCTGAGAATAAGAACAACCGGGCTGGCCTCTGGTCTACCCTAAGCTTAAATAACAACATTTCTTTTTGAAGAAAAGTGAAAAACCATCCTCTCTGGTGCCTACCCATCTTTATTTACCTTGCACTTCTCTTGTAGCCCCTACAATCATAGTGGGGAAGTGAAATGTATCCGTCGTAGGTGCGTAAAGCCTTATTTCCCCCGCATTCCCGGTTAAGAGCAAGGCCACCTAATTTTTTTTTCCCCTCTTTTTAAGACATCGATTTTTAAAAAAATTTAAAACTGATTGTGTTAAAGGTTTAAAATTTATTTTCTGTAGATTTATATGTACCATTTTTTTCTTCTATATGTTTCTGTAATGAATCTATTGTTATAATATCGATAATGAAAAAAGAAGCACTTACCTTTATTTCCCTTGTTTTGACTTTAACTGCCATTGTTTTCTCTTAGTCTTTTTACTTTCCATTATTTCCCTCCTCCTTCTCTTTCCAGAGTGTTCACAAAATTTACTTTTCGAACTTATAATATTTTTTATTTAATGTCATGCCTCGAATGTTGAGTACTGTACTTAAAACTTTAGACATCATTATTATTCGATCTAGTAAGAAGACAACTCAACACAATGCACACTTTTTTTTAGCTTTTTAAATTAAAATTATCTTTATGTACAACAGTAACACACTCATGCTTGTCTACTGCATGGTTTACAGTAAGTGGTCATATACTAAATAATACGTTTTTCAGAGTACTTCAAGAAAAATGTTTCTTCTGTAATTAAAAGATAATCGTTATGATTTACATTTGTAAATTTTCTGCTATAATGGAAATTAAATTAATTTTTTTGTTTTTAAATATTCACCAATAAAAAAAACACTTTTTCAAAGTTTTTAAGATTGAAAAAGATATTTTATCTATTTTTCCTTACCAATAGCATATTTTTATTTTTGCGTCAAACAACAATTTTCGTGGTTTTATGTCCATTTTCTAATAAAAATGCCAAGTGACAAAAACAAAAAACCTTTATTTTTACTTTAAAAATATTTCCACAAAAAAATTCATCTAGAGTAGACTCTAGTCTAGAGACATAGATTCTAGTCTTCACAATGTACCCTATGGAGATTACTAAAAAAAAAAATCATAATTATTATTAATCATAGTTTAATCAGAAAAAAATTGGCTATATTGAAAAAAAAATAACTTATATTTCCTACTAAAAATCTCTAGGAAAATATAAATAAATCTTTTTTGTCTTCAGTTGGATTGTAAATGTTCCACACCATAATTACTTGCTTGCTGTACAATTTTTAATTGTTCATTTCTTAAAATCACTGGCGGAACCTAATTATAAAATTATATGAAAAAAACACGTTTTTGACAGCATCAAATCTTTGAGATAATGACAGACAACTTTCAAAAAGTAAAATTCCTTTGTGTGTATTAAGTTAACAGTGACATTTTATTATTATTTTTTTTTTCAATTTAAAATTTAAATAACTTAATTTCGAACATAAAGTGTTTGGCGTTTGAAGTTGTACAGGTCACGTGGTTTTGTTGTTTCTCTTTAAAGAAATGTTTAAAAAAAATAACAAACAAACAAAAAATCAGGTGTTGTGGTGGTACTTACAGTCCGACTGTGACCTACCACGTTTTTTTTTTCTCTCTATTGTTCAAATAAAAAAAAAAAAGTCTCTATTCTCGATTTTTATTCTAATTCGCTTCTGTGTTATACTGTACCTACCCTCTACCAATAATGTCTCAAGAGTTTTTTTTAGCTTTTTGGAAAAAAATGTTAGGGAACAGGAACAAAAAGTTAATGAATGCTATTAGGTTGGTGCAAAAATAATGTCGTTTTTGACGTTAAGTTGAACGTCAAAAACGACATTGTTTTTGCACCAACCTAATATCAAGATAATTCAAAATGACGTTAGGAAATTAATCAAAATAATCTTGACAATCGTGATATATATATATATATATATATATATATATATACACACCGTTTTTTTTTTTTTTTTTTTTTTGTCTAAGGTTTTTAATCTTAGCTTACTTTCAGTTGGGTTCATAAATTACTTGGACCTTAAACTACCAAAAAAGAAAAGAATTACACTTTTTGAAAATGTAGTCTTCAAACAAAAATGTAGCTTTTCTAAAAATTGTTTGCAGTTATTGGAATTGTTAATTACCTTTTCTGTCTTCCCATTTAATACATGAAAAAATTTACATATTTTATTTTACAGGAGCCATCCAGTGATAGCAACACAGGCATTACAACTTCGGGTCCTACCCCGGCCAAAGTATCGACTTCAGAAACATCCGATGAACACAGCAGCAAGAAGTCTCCCAAAAAATCTAACAACATGAAAGTCGTAGTTCAGCTCTTAGATGGCAGCAAGTTTGATGTAGAAATCACAGTAAGAAAAGTTTTTTTTTTTTTTTTGTGTATGCATGTTATGACAGTGATCCCCCACCCTCCGACAAGATAAATGTTGACAATGTGTTTCTTTAAGATAATGCTTTTAAAGAAAGAAATTTTTGTGAGTACTCAATATTAAGAAATAGCATTTATAGTAAACAAATAAAATAAAATGTACTGTTTTATAGTAGAGATAAATTATATAGAAAAATAGCTATTCAGCTACAAGTTGTAGGATTCCTAAGAGAATTATTTTTATATAAATTTTCATTCTTTTCTGAACTCTTTGTATTTGATATTTTTAGCAAGCTACAAAATATTTGCAACTCCATGGGGTAAGCTCTTTGTTGCAAATTACAGTTTATTTTCATGGGTACCAACTTCTTTGTTTTAGATCTCTTCATACATTCTGAAGTATTTGGTATGATAATTCTTGTTCGAAAGGTTTTACTTTTGGGTTATGTCTAAATACTTGTCCTGAAATAATAAAAGCTTAATCATAACAAAAACTTTAAATTATTTTATGAATTTTGATGTTTTTTATTCAGAATTGAAATAGATGGCTAATTCACTACAGAACTGTTGTTAACATTCTTGTCTAATAAACCATTTAGTTTAACTCTTCTGTTTCTTGCTGGGTGTTCCATTACTGACATTGTACCACACTAAGAAAAACTTCAGTATGCAAATGCAATATAAATATGACATATATATATATATATATATATATATAATATATTTCATTTCAATATCCTGCATTCCTTGGACAGAAAATTAAGTCCTCAATTCTACATCTGAGGGAACCAGTAGAATAAACAAGAATATATTTAATTCTATTTCACTGGGGTTTAATGTATCTACTTTCCTAGGTAGAACTTTGATTTGCTTTATACTTGCATACCCTGTAAAGTACAAGGTGTCAAAAACTGATCTTTCAGCAGACACAAAATTAAAACTGGTAAAATCTTAAATACATTTCCTTAAATTTTTAACCCTTTAATCAGACAAGTGGAAATTTGTCAGGGATATGAACTTACGAGGCTAAAACAGAAAATGTCCTTTCAAAATTTGGTCAAATTATTTAAGTATTGATTTTTATATACTCTTCTGCAATTCGACCAATCCCAAGTGTACTGTCTGCATGAAAAGAGGGTGGATTTTTGTTCTCTCTCTAGTGCAAAACAGTGTTAATAGATGGTAATAAAAGCAACCAAACAATAAGTTAAATAGTCTGAACATCTTTCTGAATGAAAATGATTTCTTTCAAAATTACAAAAACCTATCTTAACAGAAAAAAAAAATGCCCCATCTGTGTTTCAAATGAAATAAATTCATCTGATTTTTGGCTTCCATTACTGACTACCTTTTTTCTATCTGAAGTTGAACGTTTTTTGACAAATTAAGTAATTGTACCTTATTTATCTCCAACTTTGATTTGCTGCTTAGCTAATTATAAGATTCAGTACATTGTTGATCAGATTGAATCTTCTTTTAGCACCATTTGAAACCAGACAGAAAATTATCCTAAAACGCTTTTTTGTAACTATTTTTGTTACTACTTGAAAACTCAAATGGAGGAACAGATTTGTTACTTGCAAAAGAAGTTGGCTTTCACTTTAGTGATTATAAAGAAAGTATAACTTATGTTTTAACCAGGTTTGTATAGCAAGTTCTATTAACACTGATTCATGTTTGATGGCTTGGTTCTTTGCTCATCTGATGTTTTGATTGTTCAGTCTAATGTAAATACAGTATTAATAGTATGTCCGTATATGAATGAAATATTCACACATGCACACACACACACACACACACACACACACACACACACACACACGTGTGTGTGTGTGTATATATATATATATGTGTGTGTGTGTGAAAAATTATTTCATTTCAATATCTTGCATTCCTTGGATGGAAAATTCCTAAGTCCTCAATTTTACATCTTAGGGAACAGCAGAATAAAGAACAATCTATATAATTCCATTTAATTAAAGTTTAATGTATCATACAATTTCTTGATGTGTATTTTCTTGGGTAAGATTTCAGCTTGCTCTATATTTGTAAATGTGATGTTTAGATATCACTCATAAAAGTGGATTAGTTGTCAACATAGGTTACATCTCTGTGGTGACTAAATACTATATTAGGTGCAAGATTGTCACCCCAAAGAAGTAACCCATGTTGACAACTGATCCATACTTCCTTCTATTCGTATACAAAATTGAATTTTCAGTGTGAGAATTTTCTATGCAAAGAATATATAAATTTATTGAATAAATTTAATTTTTAGAGGTTAATTATTAAATCGAAACTGGTGTTAAATATAGAATGAAGTAGTTTCTTCTTATTCTTTCTCTGCCAATGAAGTGAGGCAGAAAAATCATCAGCACTGGAATCAAACATTAAAAAAGCCGAACACTGGATCATGGCTAGCAGGGCATGAACCAGAATTCCATACAGGAACACCACACGTATAGGATGAATGAAGCTAACACTAACAAGGATGAATGAATTTCAAATGACACTGGGTGCTATGGACAGAAATCGTTGGTAATGTGCTGTAATCTTGTATGGTGAATACTGCCTCTTCCTGGAAAATATGCCTGCTTTTATGGAGTCTAAAACTTTAGTGGTTGGCTAGCAAAAGGAATCATTTGCATAGGTAACACTTCTCTGCTCACTGTTCCAACTATTTCATTGGGTAGCTGGTAGAAATTTTCTTCATAAACAGACGTCCTAGGGTTCGCACAGGTTCTGTTTCAGCAGGGCAGCCATTTGCATTCTTTCTGCAGAGACAGCACACTAAATATCCATCTCTTTGACAGACTTGGGTGGGTACTGTTATCAGTAGCAGTAAGTAGCTCTGTCTGCATTTTGTTTTCGCCATATAGGAGATTTAAAAAAAAAAAACAAAAAAAAACAAAACTTTTGTTCTCGTTTAAATATAAACTGAATTATGAAAAAGTAAATTACAAAAAAAAAAAAATGCATAACCTTTAACAGGTTTTGAAGACTAAAATTTCAAACAGTAGACATAACAGAATTTGAAGTGGTCCTAAAATTTCAAACAGTTAAAATAATAAATTCTAACCTGTATCTATTAATGCTAACATTGTGCTATGTCGATCTTAAGAATTATCGATAAGTTACCAAACCTTATGCAAAATATTTGTCATAGTCTTATCTTTTCACATTTTTCCTTCCTTGCTTTCAAGAGTAGATCTATTCTTTGGTTACTAATTATATGCTAAGAGGCAAGTTTGAGTGCCATCTTAGCCAGTATATCAGTTGTCATTTTGCATTCTTACAGAGTAGCTGTTTCTCTTGTCTTAATGATTAAGTTCTGTCCATCATAAGGTGAAGAAGATAAAGCTTTCTTAGATTAATTTCATATTTGTAGAACATAAATTTAGCTTGGTCACATAATGTCTCTCTAACACATATATTTAATAAGATTTGTATGAAGTCAGTTGCTCTGGTCATATGCAAAATAAAGAACAAAACTGTCCAACAAACAAAATTAACAAAGTTTGCAATAAAAAGAAAAAAAAAAAAACATGGGAGGGGAGGAATGAAATAATATCAAGCAAGCAAACAATATATGCAAGGCAAATTAACTGTAAGAGGGCAAAAAGTTCCCAAACTAAGAATTGGCGTTGAAACCTAAAAGCAAGTTTGGACAAGCAAATGTAGTGTTCTGTCTTCTAGATTAGGCAAATTGGGGGATGAGTCCTGTCAAACTACAAACCAGCCTATTTTATTGGCCAAGAAAAAAAATCCCAGTATGCATTTGTGTTTTTTGCCTATAAAAGGATAGGGGCAAGTGTTCTCCAGATATTCATAGATGGGTTGAAATCAACAACTTGGAAACCATACTCTTTCATACCATCATTGCTTTATACTCTTAGAATTGAAAAATTACTGAACAATTAGATAATTTCCAAATTGGAAAAAAAAAACCTTTTGAGAAGTTGATATCTTTTGGATTAAATGATGTGTTAAACTGAAATTCTGGGAATGAATTCTGAATAGTTGCTAATGTTCAAAAATTTGAATGCATTCTTTTCTTATATCACTTGTGTAAGCCATTGTTCTAATATCGTTTTCTAATTGATACAAAAGGAATGATTTTGGAGAATGAGCAGTAAGGCCAATTGGCTTAAAATATTTCTTTTTTGCATCCACTGGGATGGGTTATTATATATTGCTCTCACATTCTTTCAGGTTTTAATGTAATTAACTGATGCAGCTTTCCTGTTCTCAAGAAGTTAAAGCTGGAACACTCAATGACTGGCACTCCTCCAAGATAATATTCTGTACTCAAATAGCTTACAAGTTGTACTACCATGAGTGGTTGTGGAATTTGAGATCTTATATGAAAGCTGTAGAGGAAATATTCTTTGTGCCATATCCCCTGAGGATGTAGGTGATCATGACTCTCCACAACTTCCTGTCTCTTGCAGCTCTAAAGAAACCTTATTTCTCCTAAGCTCTGTTCTGCCATCCATTTACTCAAGCTCACTAAGTAGATTATGTGTTGTTTTCCTCTTTCACTTCCTTCCTTATTGTGTGCCCCCAGAAACCTCAACTCTCTCTACCTGATAAATATCAGTTTCCTTTTTGTTTCTTTTTTCTCCAAAACTTTGTCGTTGCTCACATGTTCTGTCCACAGTATCATCAGTATCCTTCTGTTGTTTCAAGTCTCTTTGTCTTTGAGGAGAATGTCCTGCACTCACTGCCATACAGGAGGTTAAATATAACATAACAATTTAGTACACTTCTTTCTAGCAAAATTTTCCTATTTCTCAGTATCTCTGCTTAGCTTTTGGAAGGCACCTTTTGCTATCCCAATACACCTTCAGATTTCAGTATCATACTTTTTGTCTTCTGTTAAAACATTTCCCAGATATTTAAATTTTGGCACTTGTTTGATTTTGATACCTCCGATTTGCAATTCGCACTTTGGGCTCATCCTTTTCCTAACAACCATGCATT